AATTATTAGACATTCAGATTTTGAGAAGTTGACCTTGAATCCTCGATCACATAATTGACTGATACTAATGAGATTAGCAGTCAACCCTTTTACCAGCAGTACTTTATTCAGACTTGGAACTCCAGGGCAGTCCAAATTACCAACTCCTTTGACTTCACCTCTAGCACCATCTCCAAAGGTCACAAAACTGGTGGTGTGAGGCTTAACATTATTGAGGAGATTTTTTATTCCAGTCATGTGTCTGGAACATCCACTGTCAAAGTACCAGCCTTCCTTTGCAGACATTCTCAGGGAAGTATGGGCTATCAGGGCAGTAGCCTTTTTCTTCCAATGAGGAGTATGTGCTACCCTTTTTGGCTTAGGTTTAGCACCTGAGTTTTGATTAGGATATCCATGCAATTTGAAGCAGAATGGCTTTATGTGTCCATACCTCCCACAATGATGACATCTCCATCTTTGGTATTTTTTCTTCATGTATTTCTGATGTTGAGAGTTGTGTTGAGACATCTGCTTTGACAATTGTTTATCATGCCTAATCTTCTTGTCTGCACCAGATTTCTTAGCTTCCACAAATCCTAGACCAGATTTGTTTCCCACATTTTGTCCAACTTGAAGGATCTCTTCCAATTTATCTGATCCATTGGTCAACATCTTGACAGATTTTGTCATTTGGTTCAGTTGTGAGTTCAGTAATTGAACTTCCCCTTCTAGGTGACTTATAGTTTCAAGATCTGCCCTTTTTTTAGCCTCCAGCTTTATAATAAGTTTTGATTGTTTCTCATTCTGTACACAGACTTCAGCACTTCTGATACACAATTTCTTGTAGGTATCAGCCAGTTCTTCAAATGTCACTTCTTCATCACTAGTGTCACTTTCAGAAGTATAAACACTAGTTAGAGCAGTAACTAGTTTGGCAGATTCTTCTTCAGAATTACTTTCTGAATCATAGTCAGACCAAGTAACAGTCATTCCTTTCTTTTGTTTCTTAAGAAAGGTAGGACATTCAGCTCGAATATGTCCATATCCTTCACATCCATGGCATTGAATACCTCTGCCTTGGTTTCCCTTTTCTTCTGACCTTGGTCTTCTGCTGGAACTGTCAATGTCAGGGGGAATGTTATGAACATTAGACCTTGACTTTGGATCCATTCTTTTGATGAGCTTGTTGAACTGTCTTCCAAGCATGGCAATAGCTTCTGAAATATTCTCTTCTTCATCCTCCTTGTTTTCAACATCAGTGTTGGAAACAAATGCTATGCTTTTGTTCTTCTTGTCACCATTATCAGTGATCCCCATCTCAAAAGTCTGAAGAGACCCAATAAGTTCATCCACTTTCAACTTGCTGATGTCCTGGGCTTCCTCTATGGCAGTTACTTTCACTGCAAATCTTTTAGGCAAGGATCTGAGAATCTTCCTCACCAGTTTTTCTTCTGACATCTTTTCTCCCAGTGCTCCTGGGGTGTTGGCAATCTCCAAGATGTTCATGTGAAACTCATGAATGGTTTCATCTTCCATCATTTTTAGATTCTCAAACTTGGTAGTCAACATCTGAAGCCTTGACATTTTTACTTTGGAAGTTCCCTCATGAGTAGTTTTGAGAGTGTCCCAAACTTCCTTGGCCAGTTCATATTGATGTACTAGTCTGAAAATGTTTCTATCAATTCCATTGAACAAGGCATTTAAAGCTTTGGAATTTCCCAGGGCTAACTCATCTTCTTCTTTACTCCAATCTTCCTCAGGCTTCAGACTGATTGTCCCATCTTTCTCAGTTATGGTGGGATGGATCCATCATTTGTCAGCAGCTCTCCAAGCCTTTTTGTCCAGAGATTTTAGGAAGGCAGTCATACGAGGTTTCCAGTAGTCATAATTAGTTCCATCCAGAATGGGTGGTCTATTTCCAAAGATTCCTTCTTTGTCCATAGTGCCAGAAAGTGATATCCCTAGATCTCACCCAGTAATACATGCAGGGTGCCTGCTCTGATGCCAATTGAAATTCTGGCAACAGATACTCAATGTCACGTTCAATATTATGACACCGTATCTGACTTACTATATGACAATAAATACAAAAGCAATAAAGAACACAGTCAATTGTTTACCCAGTTCAGTGTGCAACAACACCTACTCTGGGGGCTACCAAGCCAGGGAGGAAATCCACTATAAGAGATGTTAATTCAGGAATAAACCAACCAGTTTATCTCCTTCACTTAAGACCTACCCAATGCAATTTCAATCTAAGTACAACTTAAACCTGAGTTCCTACTCACTCCCCCTCAATCACAGCAGTGATACATAAAACAATTTGACTAATGAATTGATGAAGACACTCTTCAAAAACAAACACTTGATTAAGCTTCACAGCTTTTTAATCAAGCAACACAATCACTCTTGCTTCACAGCTTTGAGTGATGCACACAACTAACTTGACTCTGCTTCACAGCTTTAGTCAAGGAACATTCAAACACTCTTGCTTCAAAGCTTTGAGTGCTACACAACCCTTACAATTAAAAACCTATTCCAAGTCACTTATCACAATGATAATTGCTTGGAGTACAATAATTAAACCTATACAGATTACAAATGATCTTCTGATCAAAAAGGGATTGCATGAAAAACATCAGCTCTGTTGAATATATAGAAACTGCAACTTCAGTTAGGGTTTCCACAAAAACCTAGGGTTAATTCCGTTTGACCTTAAGACTAGGTCACAGGACTTTATTAACCAGGTTAGGGTTGAGCTAGGTTACCCCTCAGAAAACGCAGGATTCTGTTCTGGAAAGACTGAGTTATTTTCCTGAAAAAACTCAGAATTAACCAACCTGCAAAACCTGTTAGTTCAGAACAGGATGTCTTAACATCTGTTATGACATCTGAGGAACCTGACTACTGATTTAGAAAAATGTGATCATTTTGAAAAATGCTCAGATACACACTTATAAACATCAGTACCTGAATGACAATATTTTTCTGCAAAGGTACCTAATGAATCAGTACAAACTAAACTAGAATGTTATGACATCAGTCATGACATTCACACATACACTTGGGTTTTACCAAAAATGCAAGCCAATACCTAAACAACTACACCAACGTTTGAAATTGGAACCCTCAAACTTAAATGGTTTGTCAGAGACAGTAACGGCCATAGTAGAACCGATAATTTCCTCAGTAGCCATGGCAGTTAAAGAAACGTCTTAAAATTGTTGTTTCCGGTTTTGAAGAATTTCCACACAAAAAAATATCGGGACAAGTCGCATACTAGGTCGCTTTCTTTAAGACGTTTTGTGGTACTGTCAAAATTATGCAAAGCAACTCTAAATAACTGTGACGCCTCCAGGATAAAACAGCTCATTCAGTAAATATGATTATCACTTGCACTGTGATAAATCGTTCTTAGAGATACACCTTCAGATGATATTAGAATCAGTCGTAGTATATGGAATTAATCCAGTCGTTGATGGCGCAATAAGCCACTCGGAAAAACAAAGAAGAAAATATTTTAGATGAAGCATAGTTGAGAGAGAGAGAGAGAGAGAGAGAGAGAGAGAGAGAGAGAGAGAGAGAGAGAGAGAGAGAGAGAGAATTCGTGTGTGAATTCTGGAGTAAGTTGCAAATGAACCAAAGAACTGTATTTATAGGCAAATGGTCCAATTGAATGGAGCAAAAATCGTTGGAGAAAAACGTGCGAGAGTGGAACCGACCCAATCAAAACTAGCCATTTTTCACTTGGTCAGCAAGTCACGCGTATGACTCTTAGAGGGCAAGCAAACCAGTAAAAAAATTAGGTTAAGACTTGGTTTCGGTGCAAGACGCGTCACCATTTCATAATTAATTAAAATTAAATATTAATTAATTTTCTAGTATTTTATAATTAAATAATAGTATTTAATTTCCACTAATTTGGGTTCCAAAAAATTAATTCATCTAGACCGAATCGGACAGACGGCAACGCGCGTCTAAGTGGCTTATGGGTGTGTCCTCACTCCTTTATAATATGTGTATTTCCTCTTATGTGAGACTAAAATGAATCCTTTCAAATTCACTTCCATATTAGTTCTTACTTGTGTTCATTCATTACTCATTTAATGTCAATAAATCATTCTAACTCCCACTCCAAGTTAACATCATATCAAGATTTCCAACAAGTACTTCCCAAACCTGAGTGCGATTCACGAGTATAACTGGGGGACGTCTGGTTGGTCTACTTGTACTCAAAGTTGGATGAAGGTTGCCTTTGGAAGACAAAGTTAAGACAAAGTTATCGACAGGGTGTTGTACGCTGTTTACGGTAATTTTGTTACTAAATTGTCATAATTCATTAGTTAAACTTGTTATTAATATTATGTCTGAAATATTTTTAAGGATGGGTCATTTCTCACTTTCCTCACATTACCGGATGAAAAGTTGCACCTAAATATACAGAGGACTGGCCATGTGCAGCTGCTCTTAAGCTTTTCTTCGTTGTTTGACCCCTATTTTAACCGCACAAAAATTGCACTTGCACTTTTCTAAGAGAATGCTTTAATGTCACCATACACTCCATGTGAAGGAGATCTTGAACACTAGTAATGAGGGAGTCAGCAATGAAATGTGTTCACTGGTTTAGAGAGCGTGTCAATGGCAGTCTTGAAATCCGAGTAGCATCAAATAGAATTGAACCCTTTGGATTTTTCAATTTTCAAATCAATAAAAACTGTCATAAATTCAGCATAAGTATTGTTTGCAATGCCTAAATAACTACTAAATCCAATAATCCAATCTACATTCCCAATACGAAGCAAACCACCCACTCCAAATCTATTATAACTATCTTGCACAAAGTACAACCAGCTGAGTCTTAAGCAATGTGGTTAATATATATACAAGTTTACTTATATTCATGAAAACTAAGCCTTTGCAGGGTTACATCATAAAAGAACTGCACATATTCACATTCCTCTTGCAGAAGACTTTAGAGAGGGCGAAGGAAACTGTCAACGGAATGGAACCAATAGCTTCAGTTATAGATCTGAAACATCTACAGAACTCTCTATAATATCAATGCAAGATCCTACCGAACTTCCCGCAGACATCGCCTCCGCAAGCTTAGCTCGAGCTACTTCATGTCGACGCAAGAGTAAGACCGTGTTTAGCACAGACCATCTAACTTGAGAATCCGCCTTCTTCTGCGTGAAGCCTAGCCCATTGAGCAAAGAATCTAACTATTCACAATTAAGAAAATTATAAATATTGATGTCAATTCCCTCTAAACATTTCATCTGTCTCATGACAAAAAAACGCGAATTTCAAACCTTTCTTATGTCATCTAGACCTCCTTCAGAAAATCCGTATATAAGATACTCGGTGCACACCCCGGCCAGGGCTATACATGAAAACTTGTTCAATGTCTAATAACATAAAACAAAGGTTTTGTCACATTGTTAATCTTCACATCATTGATTAAAGCAAACAAACCATTGAAAATTAAATGTCTGTGAGACAGAAACATACGGTAGCTGATACTTTCCCTGCGTTAACCTGCACGACAAGAAAGGTACAAGTCATCAATATCTATAGTTTCAACTAATCACAATTGACAATCTACTCAAAGCAAACAGTTCAAATCGAGTTAAAACAAATATTCTTTCAATCAGGGCCGTTTTTGTGGGCGTGTAAGACGGGTTACCGCACAAGACCCAAAATTTCCTACGATTAAATTGTGGCTAAAAAGGGCCTCACAAAATATTTGTTATGATTAAACCATAACAAAAATAGAGCCTCTATTTGTTTTTCCAAAGTTAAAACATGATAAACCTACATAGAGCCTCCAAAAATTTAAGAGGGGCCTGCTTTCAATTCAACAAATATTTCGGAGTCACGCGATCAAAATAGCCACACCTCGCAAACACATGGTTTTGCTGCTAAACTGTGAAAGGGTCAAAGCCTGTGGACTAGGATGAGCATTGATGCAGAAGACAAGTCCCTACTAGATACTTTCTCTATTTTTCTATTACCTTGAAAGTAAAATTAGTGCATTAAATATATGGAACAAATAAAGCAACCAACTTCTTCAAGAAACTCGAAATCCACAAACGCCGTGCCTGCTTGAATATTGAGAGAACCCTCCTTCTTCAGAGCATCCAAACTAGAAACTGAATATCCTTTAGGAAGTATTCCAACTAGATAAGCAATTAAAAAATGGCCAGCTTCATGCTGCATGATCAAACTTTGTTATGGTTAGTTACTTTATGATGAGAGTGATAAGAAATAAAATTAGTTTAATTTCAAGCAATAACATGAATCTGACTTGAATAACTCTGTTGTGATATTTCTGACTGAAGTTATGACCAATTGTATCAACAACCAAGCTACCAATACCTCCACCAAAAGAAACCTGCAAACAATCAATTCGATAAGCATAGAGTATCATCTTCGATAACTCAAAAGGAATCAAATGCTTACCAAGTCAAAAGTCCAGAGAAACAACAATCCCAATGATATATAGAAGATTTGTTGTTGGGAAATTCCAAGAATATTCCAAGCAGCAAAGGCTCCAAGAATAGAAGCAATAAGCAAGTTTCTCTCAATGGAACCAAGAGTTGTATCTACTGGTGATAGAAGAGAGGCAGTTTCTATTCCATTTAACTTTAATTCATCCAACGTGTAAAGCCTCTGAGGAACCTGCACATTCATTCATACAACCAATGAAAAAAACCACAAATCAAGACTTAACTAAAATTGGGAATTAGATCCCTCCAGCACCCTCCCCGGGAAAGAACATGAATAACCAACCTGCCTGGCTGCGCCAAAACAGCGAAGCCCATTGGGATTGCCTTGTAAATCCTTGACAAGTGCTAGAGCAGCTCTATCATCCCCTTTTGTTAGCTCCTTGTCTATATTTTCCAGTAATTGTTGCCTAGAGCTACAAACTCCAACTTTTGCAGAGCATTTGATTGCCCGGAGCATGGTGGGAGAGCCACGCCTACGTGTTGCTACAAGTTTTGGTTGCCCAAAGCATGGCGGGAGAGGCACGCCTACACAAACACCATGCATCGAACCCAGACCAATCATTTAATCAGATTCTTTTCATGAAACGATCCAAGATTTCGATTTTATTATTTTGGTTTCCATGCCACATGTTGTCTTTACATAGAGTTAGTTCTCCACCACATAATATAAGATAAATAACAATTTCTCAAATTATAGAAAAACAATTTGCATGTCCGTTATGTTGGGTCCAACAGTTACTCTAGTATTCTTCTTTTTATTTTTACCGTGAATAAGATTCATTTTTTTAGAATAATATCTAGTATGTTAAAAATAAAATATCTGAAACAAGGCTTTCCATTAAACTATCCACTCCATAGAGAATATGAAATTCATTGCAATCAAGAAACATAAAACCAAAATTTGTATTTTACAACTAGAACAAAGTTAAAACTACAACTACTCAACAACGAACAGAAACCCTAGAATTCTTGAGAAGCGGATCCAATTTCTCCTTTTCCCTTTCCAACCTTCTTAGGTAACAAAGTCTGGTGAATATTAGGCAAAACTCCACCATTAGCAATGGTCACAGCTCCCAAAAGCTTGCTCAGTTCTTCATCGTTCCTAACAGCAAGCTGAATATGCCTTGGTACAATTCGGTTCTTCTTGTTGTCCCTAGCGGCATTACCAGCCAATTCCAAAACCTAAATCACACAAAATCACAAATTGAGATTCCAATTTTCAACTAATAACGTGAAAGTAAGACAAGAAAATCAAAACATACCTCGGCGGCGAGATATTCAAGAACGGCGGAGAGGTAGACGGGAGCGCCGGCACCGACACGTTCGGCGTACTTTCCAGCCTTCAAGAATCTGGCGATTCTACCGACGGGAAATTGGAGACCGGCCTTGGAAGATCTTGAAACAGATTTGGAGGCCTTTGGCTTGCCTCTTCCACCTTTAGTTGCTTTAGTTGTAGAACTCATTTTGTTGTTGATGAAAAATCGAAACCCTAAAACTTAAATTCGAGATTGAAAAGGAGGGAGCGAAAGCACTGAAGAAGAATGAGATGGCCTTCGACATGGATGTTGTTATTATATAGGAGACTTTATTCTGTGTTGATTGGTTGAGAAGGTGAGACACGGATTGCCAGCGTGTCATTTACACTCAGCACCGCAACCGCGGGAAATTATTTTCTTACATTTTTATTTTTTTAACTTTCCAACTAGCCGCGCCCTATTATTTCCTCGGATAAGCTTTTTGCTTTTGAAAATAAAATAACGATTATATTTGATTTTGAGGTGAGAATTAATTTAAAGAGTGGGGAAATATTTAACTTTGGTCCTTTAAATTAAAAGATAATATCAATATTAGAGAATGGTAGGATATTAACAACAACAAAAAAGAAAGGGAGATTATTAGTTTTTATTTTTATTTTTTTGTCTAATTAAATTAATTTAGAATTTAGGAATTTAATTAATCAACTTTTTTTATTTAATTAATTAGGTTAAACATTTTCATACAAAAAATCATAAAAACAATTCTCTTTTCAATTTCTTTTCATTTTATATTTTTTTGCATTTTATTACTTCATATTATAATGTAATAGTTAGGGTTTACTTTTCTTATCATCTCCCATTTGTAATTTGTATCCTCGTCCCCTAAAGTATTGTAATAGCGTAAGACTTTAAATTTTCGCAATTTATCGTTTTCCATATTATTGCTAGTAACTAGGGTTTGTATGCCAAGACATAAAATCAACAAGTAGACAATCCTAATTCAAGACAAAATACATGAAAACAAACACTTTGAACACTTGCACCTCTAGGGTTAACCCGCACTTGTTGCCTTAGAACAAAACAGTCATGTCCCTCGAACGTGGGATACTTTAGCAAAGATCATCGATTACAAAATCATAGTCCCTCGATGACCCTTCGATGTTGCCTTCGATAAAACGATCTTAGACCCTTATCACAAATTGCTAAGGTATCTTATAAATGTTACCTTCTATAACTGTACGATGACTCACGCTTGTCCCTTCACGTCCAATAATAAGGTTTCTTACTAACTAAATGGTAAGATAACATTATCTAATAGAGGAGGAAAAGAACAAATATTTTCTTTTGAGTAGGTAGAACGCTCGTAGTTGCTTTCTTACAAACATTTTAAAACAAAACATCTTTCAACACACCAACACTTTCATGAAATATTTTCAAAAGTTAACACTTTGTATACATTCTTTTATGGACGAGAATCATTACAAAGTTCGCCTATACAAAGGCACTTTTCAAAAATACTTTCAAAACAAATCACAAACAAATTTTACAAAGCATTTCAAAGTGAGCTAGTAACTAAAAGCTTGTAGATAACTACATATGAAAAGGGTGTTAACACCTTCCCTTTTCATAACCTACCCCCTGAACTCAAGAAAATTCTCAAAAGGTATTTCTTGTTCTTTTCACCCTTTCCTTTATTGGATAAAGAAAAGTTGGTGGCGACTCTTGCAATCCGCAACAATTGCGATAAAACATAAAACACTCAAGTCAGTTTTTTCACCGTATTACATGTTGCTACGACTAGAAGCTATGACCCTGCAACACAGAACAAAGATAAATCCCCTGGATCCTTTAAATGGTTAGTCATGATATAATGTTATGATGTTATGATGTCATGATATCATGTTTAAATAGATAATCAAACACAAGCAAAGCACGCAAAGGCCTTAGGTTTAAGGCTTGCATGGGATTTGTAGGTAAGTACCCTCTTAAAGTTTAGTTGGCTCAACTTGTCCTAAAGAAGTAATTGGGTTCTAGGGATCTCAATATCACTGATTTTTCCCCTAAGTTTCGTCTAGCACGGTAACTGATTTTCCACCAAACAAAACTCGAGAGTCGAATCTCAATGAGTGTAGTATCGAGTATCAACCAACCTCAGACTACACCAAAGTCGGCTATCTCACTACCTTCTAATGGCTAAGTTGGGTCAATTAAGGTTCTAAGGTCAGCTAGTGCTTATGACACCATGTGACAGCCTGGTACAAACTAATGTGTCGCACTAATGTAGTCATCAATTAAACCATATCGGTATACTCTGTATAGTTTCCATGATCTATTGCTACTTACCTAAAATGTTCTCCAGATCCGGGTATAGGATCTTTGTAAGAAATAATATCCAAACAACCCTTTAAAAATAAAGCAGATAAATCAAACAAGGAAAGCATTTAAAAGTGATCTAACTCTAAGGTAACCCCACTTTTAGTTCTCCTCGGTAGAGTCGCCAGTTTTGTAATACGGTGAGAGAACTGACTTGGTTTTGCATTTTATCGCAAATGTTGCGGATAGCAAGAGTCGCCGCCAACTTTTATTTTATCCATTAAGGAAAGGGTGAAAAGAACAAGAAAGACCTTCGAGATTTTATTGAGTTTTGGGGTAGGTTATGAAAAGGGAAGGTGTTAGCACCATTTTCATTCGGAGTTATCTACGGGCTCTTAATCGCTAGCTCACTTTGTTTGAAAATGTTTTTGTGTGTATGTTTGAAAATATTTTGAAAAATGCCTAAGTACGACAATCTTTGTAATGGTTCTTGTATAAGTTAAGAACGTGTACAAAGTGTTTTTTTTTAATATTTCAGAGAAAAGTGTTTTTTGAAAAGATGTTTTTTGTGAGCAAGCGATTACGAGCTATCTACCTACTCAAAAGTCTTTCGTGTTATTTTCCTCCTCCTTTAAATAGTGCTATCATACCATCAGTTAGTAGGAAGATCTAACGTTGTATGTGAAGGGACATGCGAGGGTCGTCGTACAGTCATAAAGGTAACTTGTAGGGGCACTTTAGCAATTTATCCTAAGGTACTAAGATCGTTTATCGACGGCAGCATCGTAAGGGTCATCGAGGGACTACGATCTTTTTAACTGAGGGTCTTTACTAAAGCGTCCCCACGTTCAAGGGACATGAATGCTTTTATTCGAGGGTGACAAATGGGGTTACCCTAGAGGTGAGTGTGTGAAAAGTGATTCATTTCAGTTATTTCATCTTGATTAGGGTTATCTAGCATTTTGTTTTAGATCTTGCCATACATGCCCTAATTACTAGAAGTTATAAGGAAAACAGTAAATTGCAGAAAATAAAGGTCCTACACTATTACAAAGCTTCGGGGAAGGGGGTACAAAACCATAAAACTGGGGAAAAAGAAAGTAAACCCTAGTTAACTATTACATACTGTAGCAGATACATAATTGGAAAACTAATGCGAAAGTAATAAAGTGCGCGAAGATTATGAAACAAAGGGAAAAAGAAATTTGAAAATCGTTTTGTTATCGTTTGATGATTAATCTAAAAAAATCTAATTGATTTTAATTTAGAAAAATAATTAATTGATTAAAAAGAATTGATTAATTAAGCAAACCCTAAAATCTATGTTGGTTTTTATTCAATTAAGAAAACCTAAAAAATTTAAATTAGGGTTTATTGATTAAAAACCTAAAATTAAGCGTAAAAACTAAAATTAAATTAGAAATCTAAAATTAAATTAGAAACCTAAAATATATTTTTTTTAAAAACCTAAAAAAAAAATTGGATTTGTGTTGAAAAAGGTTTTGAAAAATATTTGGTGAAAGAATAGGAAAAAGAAGGAAGAAAAGAGTGAGAAACATAGAATTGGAAAAAGAAATAACCAAATGAGTAGGGGTGGGTGTTGAACCCACGCCCTCAGCATTTTCATACAGCAAGCACACCTTGGTGTTAGGATACGCCTCCAATGTGTTTTGTGACAAACCTACAAAAATAATGAAAACATAAAAGAATTTGGAAAAACCGTGGATCAAACCCGTGACTTGAGAGATGAGTGACTTAGCGCACACGTTTCCACCACTAGGGTGGCTATACATCCATTAACCTTATTGAAATAATTAATATATAATAACAAATTCCCATAAGTCAACAACTCAAAATGCCTGCCTGAGATGGGATCCATGTATTTTGAATGATCCAATCAGAAGCTCCTAAAATGCCACGCCTGTCTCTGGCCAGTCAGCATTGTCGTGGGTGGCTGAATAAACTGTCTTCTCCAACGGGTTGATTTTTAAAACCTTCAAAATCAAAAGAATTGAAACAACACAAATACCCTACCTCCCTAATTCTACCCTCATGAATCCAAATATGGGCTTAGTTTTGGCTACAAGTCCCTATAGATTGAGTTTTGAAGAAAAAACCCTAACACGGTTCATAAATGGAAAACCATGATCCTCACGCTATGAGCCTCATACGATGTTTTCAACATGTTCTAAACTTCTTATTGAACATATCTGAGCAAGCAAAAAACATTAATAACACATGGAATAAAAAATTCAATTGCGAGAATGCTTACCAATCAGACTTGATGGGATATCACGATCTGGTGCTTGAGGGGCTTGGCTATGGACTTAGATCAACTTTTGGAAGTCTCAGGAAGGTGATTTGATACTTGAAATCGACTAAGAATGGCTGGAGATAAGGGTTTGCTTTTGTCCTAATCTTTGTAATTTTGAGGATTTTTTAGGTGTTGATGAGGCAGCTTTCACGTGTGTTGTTGGTCTGGTCTTGTTAAGTATATATACAGGGAATATTAGGTCAACGTTTGTGGTACAAATCTTTAAGGTTTATGATGAAAAGATATGATTTGCAATTATGTGAAAACTTGCTATTTTTTATCAATCTTGCACCAATCTTCCTTACACGAATTTGCCAACTTGTATATGCAATCTTGGGCCTCCAATATGATTCATAGCAAAGCCCACATGCCTTGGTCCATTGGTCTTATATTTATTTAATTTATTTTGGATTTAATTGAATAAAAATCAAAATAAATAAAATAAAAATAAGAGATAATGCATGAATGGACTAATGGGTCTTTAAACATGTCATGCACATGTTTGGAGCTGGAAACTTAGGCCTAATAGTCCAAAATTACAAATTTGCTCACTTTGAACTTCATGCATTTGCTCCAAATT